TGTATTTCCTGAGCAGCAGGAAAGGCAGTGGCAGGAAAATAAAGCCACAAACAGTAGAGATTTATGTCCAAAAAGGAGACAGAAGAGTCTTTTTGCTCTATTGGAATAAAGAGAGAGGCTTTGGGGCATGCCCTTGGGATCTCTCCAGTTTTGGAGTATGCAGCCTCTTTTTATCCCAATTTTCCAGCCCCCTTTCCCTCTCTCTTTCCCTCTTATCTGAGGTACTTGAGAGGTCCAGACTTCCCAGAACACCTAATACCTGAGATTCCCCTTTAATGTACAACCCTCCCTTTTAATTTTTAATTCTTATGGAATTCATGGGTCTTCCTCATTGCTTCTTTCATCTTTCAATATCCAGTTTCATTTAGCAGCAAACCTACAGTTTGTTTGTAAAGGCAAATATCATTTTTCCATTCATCAATCAATGGAATTCATCCCCTTGTTCCTTTTATATCTCTGTGCTGGTTTTATCCACCAGATACCACATCTGAGAGGAGTTTTAGGGTTTGTCTTCTGAGCTGTTTCCCACCGAGTACAGGCTGTGGGCTCCTGTGACTTACAGGGGGTGGGTTTGGGGAAGAGGAGCTGCAGACTTGTAAAGCCTCAGGATTTCCCCCTGACCCTCAGGTCTGTGCACCCAACGCAGAGATCCAGAGAGAGGAATGGCACTGGAGAGCTGGGGTTGGGAAGGAAGGCTGTAGCTCATTGCTGGAGGTTTGCCATGCTTGAAACCCCCTATTTGTGTGATCTGCCCAGTGTGGACCTACCCCACCTCCCAGTTTTGTGAGAGGTGTGTCCTTGCAGTGAAGAGTGCCTCTTAGTCCCTGGATTATTGTGTTTTGAGTTGTGCAAAATCTAAGGTACAGGACTTGAGATAATTGCCATGGCAGTTTTGGAGAGAAGAAGTTTACAGATAAAACCATTTCAATAAATGGTTTAAGGTATTTAAGGTGTTTTAAGGTGCCAGTGGTGGATAAAGGCTGGCAAGTGTGAAACCTTCAGCTGATAAATTTAAGAAGCAGGCTTGGGTCAGTTGTGTAAGCACAGGACTCTGGTCCTGTGGAGATGCTCCAGGATTGCCTGTGGCATCCAGTTCCCAGCAGGGAATGGATGGGATGTCCAGCAGCCTGTGGCAGGGGTGCTGGTCCCAGGAGAAGCCCCGAGCATCCCAAGGGCACTGCACACCCTGGAGGGTTTGTACAGCCCAGCCTGGGCAGAAGGGGTGAGCTCATAGTGCTGAGCAGCTGCAGAGCTCTTCACCATGTCCCATCCCACGTCACAGCAGACATGGGAAAGTCAACAGAGGCACTGTCTGGGATCCAGAGCATGACACCATCCTGCTCTTAATAATCTGCATTTTTTCTGAAGGACCCATTGCACAACTTGGCTGCAGTGGCTGAGATCCCGTTTTGGATGTAATGAGAATTCACAGTTCTTAGAATTTGTGTAATATCTAAAGGTACTACTGGACTGAATGATTTGCTTCCTCAAATCATAATTTGCTTCTCTTGCATCTTTTAATCTTTCTACATTATTCTACCCATCTCTTTCTTCCTTTTTGATTAAAAAAAGTTAGAATACTTTGTGTATTCTAATCAGATCCTGAGTTGGGTCTACTGTTTTAAATTTGACTTTTTGTAAGTTTATATTTTCTAAAGCTTTTTACAAAGTTGAGATTAAAGTTTTTAGTAGTGAAGCTTCTTAAAACTACTGGCATAAATTAAATGGGTAATTCTACTGGGGTGATCACCTCTGTGGGGCTGCATTGTAGGAGACTGTAGGCAAACCTGTGCCAGGCTGGAGTCTTTGCCCAAAACCAGCTGTGTTCTGTAGCCATGGCTTCCAGCTAAGCAGCACATGCAGCAAAATGTTCTTTTTGGAGGCCTCCTTCCACTGCTCTCTAGTGAATGTGAGATCAAACATCAGTTTCTGAAGGGCCCTGTGATTGCAACAGGACTGTACATGTGGTAATACTTGGAAATGCTGCAGTCATTTCCCTTTCCTGTGGGGCTCTAAGTTCCCAAACATCCTCCTCTGGCCTGGAGCTGGTGATAAACATCTCTGCTCACCATTTGTTTAGATCACTTGTCTACTGTACCGAGGTCTGGGTCATGGCTCACTGCTGCACCGAGTGAGGCTCTGACATTCATTTCCTGGGACCTGAGAGAAGGGATGGCCAGGGTTAGTATGGAAGTACAAAAATGAGGAGAACTTGAGAGAAAAGCCTCCTAACAACTTCTTCTCTGAAATATTTGGAATACACAGTGGACTGACATTTAATGTTCTCATTTACTACCCATGTGTACCAAAAAAAATGAGGCTAGGTTATTTTTAATTTTGGGTGACTCTATAAAACAAAGTAAAGAATCTGCTTATAATAAGACTTGATCTACAGTTTGTGTATAGGTGGTAAGTGTAGGAAAAAAAAATGCCAAGAGCTGATGTAAAATTCCTGGAAAGAACAGTATAGAGTATAAATTTCACAGCTGTTATTAAGAAAGTAGGCCTACATAGCTCATATTTACAAAGGAGAAGAGATCTAATTGTCAGCTCTCTTTAAAAACAAAACCAAACTCAAAAAAGCCCTAGACCATCTGTCCAGTATGGGTTGTTTTTTGGTGGTTTTTTTTTAAGGGAGCCTCCACAGGTGAACAGTTGCCAGGGCTGAATACAGTTAATTGCTGTAGGGTGTTTATTAATCTGCATTTTAATCTTGCCAAACTTAATGCTTGAAGAATCACCCCTTTGATTTTTATTTTTTTTTTATTCTTCTTAAATGAATGACAGAAGGAGAATTCTGCCAATTTAGCTATTTTCAAGTTTATCTTTTTTAGCAGTAGCTTTGAATGATTAATGTGAGCAAATGCCTTTTAGGTTTGTCTGCCAGTGGAAAAGTATACCTGAGCTCGTTCAAGTGCTGTTAATGAAAATGATAAAAGCAGTGATTTGTTACTGCTGCTGCCATTAGTTACTGTTTTATGAATCACATGATCTGATGAAATACTGTTATTGCCCTGCAGCTGGAAACCCAAAAGAAGAGTCAAGCAACAGAAAGATCTCTAGCAGTTAACAACAAATCTATTTTGGGAAAAGGACCCTCTTTTTTTTTTTTTCCAGCTGGGGAGTGTGGGATAGACATGGGGGAGAGGAAACCAAGCCCCAAACCCCAACATTTTATCCATTCCTAAAGGAAATACAAAATTAACAAGCCTGCCAAGAATAAGGGCTGGTAGAGTTATGACCTGTAAAATACCCACGAAACATTTCATGCCATAAAAATGAGTTTGTGGGTCTCTGTGATTTCCCTCAGTGGTCCCTGTGGTGGGTTTTTCCCTCCTCCTGGATACTCCCCTTTCTGCAGGGAGGAAGGGTCTCTCCATCAGCCCTTGCAGTGACCCCTTGGCAAGGCTGTGCATGCTGAGCCTTTGGGATGCAGAGTTCTTATTCTTGGTCTTTTCCACTTAAATATCAAGGTTTCCTCAGTTTCTAATTCAAACAGAAATAGGAAGACTTTCCTTGGTGTGATGCTTGGCTTATTTATTGTATTTTGGTTTTTTTTTTTTTTTTTTTGCTTCTGCTCAGGCTGGCTTTTGTCACCAATTTGCTTCTCAGCAGGAATTGCTTTAAGGAGATCTTACAGTTGTTTTTTTTCTTTGCTGTGGCATCTTGCAGACCTAATCAAAGTGAAGTTCAATACTCTGTTCACCCATCAGGAGTGAACGGCAGCAAAAGCTGTGCTATCCCTAGCTGGATTTCCTGGGGAGTCCTTTCTTGCTGAGTGGTTTTATGAGCTATATAATCACATATTTGTGTGATAATCCCTTCATAGGACGTCACTGCTAAAGGAAAGGGATTATCTGCTATAGTAGCACTCCCTTTTCTTACAACACCAAATTCTCTTAAAGCTTTCTGTTCTAGTGGAGGTTGTGCTCAGACTTGCTTTGTGTTCTGCTATGGACATAAATGTGAATCCTAGCTTGAGAATTCAATAAAAAAAAAAGATGGATAAAAAGAACTTTTGAGGCCTTAGATAACTGATAAGTTAAACATGTTCAGTTCTGTCACATGTTGTCATTAGGGCTCACATAGAGTTAAAATTTACAAATATAACTTCCCACAAAGCCAGATATCATATTGTACATTTGATATTTGTTGATCAGCATACTTAGCTGCCATCAGTAAATCACTGTCTCTCTGTAGGAGTAGCCTGTGCTGTGCACCACAATAATAGTTCTGCTTAGATTCCAGTTTTAATGAGGTTGGAGAAGATCAGATTGGTTTTTGATGGAAACCAGGGTACTGTAATAATTGATTAACAAATCAACAAGTTGTCTTTGGCAGTTTATGGGTGAGAGAGACCTGCCTGTGCTGCAAGAGGATGTTCAAGGGTTGCTTGTATCCAATTCTCAGGGAGTCTGAAGGGCAAGTGATGTGTTTGTGTGTCCATATCCAGAAAAACAAGCCAAAATACCAGTGCATTTTATCACTGAAGAAAAACCCAGACAGCACTGATAATATTTTGGTTTATTGTAGATCAAGTGTCTTCATAGCATGTTTTACATGATAATCATAATAAACTTGACCCTCTATCAATGAATACACACAAATACTCTACTCCATAGTTTAAGCAAACAGCTGTATTTCAAATTTATCTTTTTACTCTGAAAGACTGTAAGACTGAAACAACAGCACTGCAGATATTTTTTTCTCCTGTAATGCATAGGCAAATAAGCATTTAGTTCCCAGCAGCAGAATGCCTTTTTAAAAAAATACTTTTAGATTTCCCTAGTTTTTAGGGTTTTATTGTGGGGAGAGGAAAACAAAGCAAGAACCCTTCCTTGGAAGGAGGGGGGAAATAGTGCCTTGTGAATTCTAACATCAACAGAACAGTTACCAGGTTAATAATAGTGTTCCCCTGCTGCCTGATTCCTCCTGTGTTCTTTACATCTTAAGTGCTTGTGTGCCAGAAAAACCCTTTTTTACATTTTCAGCCATTCTCTTCAATTTCCCACAGAATTGTTGCCATTAGTTAGAAGACTGTGCCTGAGCTTTTGGTAGAGCTGTGGTTCAGGGAATGGAGGGTAAGAATCTCTCTCCATGTGCCTGTAGATTATCCTGTGCCTCATCAAAGCCAGGACTGTGTGGAATATTCCTCATGATTGCTTTCCTTGCAGGACTGTCCATGTTTATCTGAAACCACGAGGGAGAAGCCAGCTCGGTCCTGATGATTGGGGTCAAGAGCAGGGGGCAGTCTGTGTGTGCAGAATGTGGGCACAGGGCTCCAGAGGCAGCTGGCCAGGATGAGTTTGGCTTGCCCATCCTAGGAAGAACAAGAGAGCAGGGACAGTCCAGGCAGGAGCTGTCCTGTGGACACGGTTTGGATGGAGTGGCTGCAGTGGAAGGAGCTGAAAGTTGCTGGTATCCAACCCTGCTTTCCTCTGCTAAGAAGTGTTTCTGGAGCTACAGTTAGATTCCAGAGAAACCCTGAATTCTGGTGAGCCCACGTGCCTGGAGGTGCACAGTACCAGTGGGGGAAAAAATGACTAAAAGTGTCGTGGCCTGAGATAAGATTGAGCCTATTGATCAACCTTGCTTAGGAAAAGTTTTAATTCCTAGAGTTTTCCTGCTGCTGTTCACGGTTTGTAGCAGATAAAATGAAGCTGTGCAGGTGTGTGACAGCAGAAAGGTCTGGTGGTGAGCAGAGACACCAGAGCCCTCTGATAATCCATCAGCTCATGATGAGTTCCATTGGTTGTTTTCAGCTTGACCTTGTCTGTTAGTGTGGAGAGGAGACCTCTAAGAATTGTTTGGTGCTAATGTCTTTTATGGGCTGAGATCTTTGTCTTCCAGGGGAGTCATTTGAGTGGCCCCTTTCTAAATGCTGCTGTAATTTGGATATAAACTGTGTTTGATATCCTCGTGAGCATGTAGTTTTTTAGAGTGGTAAGCAGTTCTTGTGTTAACAGTGAACATCGAGAAAATGTGAAATTGGGATGCTCTGAAGCTCCAGAAACTAGAGAGCCAATAGCAAGATTCAAGTACACACTATTTTAGAAAAAATTGCACAGCTTATATATAACTGTCCTGATTTAAGCCCTTACATTTGACTAATAAATTTGTGATTGGCAATACTGACATTTCTCTTTTGGAAGTGCAAATGTCTTGCTGAGTTCCCTATAGCTGCGCATACTAAAAATAAAAACTGGAAAAAAAAAAAAGGACAAGAATGCATTGTCGTGCCAACTGGCATTAAAAACCAACAGAAGGAACGTTAAAATTTGCTCAATATTTGGATTAGAGGGAGTGGTTTAGTCATTCAAAGCAGCAACTGCTCTCAGCCAATATTTGGGAATGCAGCTGATTTGGGTTTGGCTTCTCCTCCAGTGCCAGCAGGGAGGCTGCATTTTGAGACTCTATAATAATTTCATTGTTACACATAAAGCAGCAAATAATGCAGCATGATCCTTTAGTTATGTCAGCTTGCCAGAGGCAGTGGCAATAAAAGCCAGTGCTGGCTCAGTTTTGCAAGAAGAGTAATAAGCAGGAATGATTAAAGGTCATAGAGCACGTCTGGCTGAGCAGGAATGAGTTTTTTCTATAGCCACGTGTAGGGGAAAAAATAGATAATTTACATACAAATTTGCTGTTTTCGTTTAAAAAAAAAGTAATGCATCTTGGAATCTCTCTTTTCACCCATTTTACAAAGGGGGACAGCACTGGGTAAAGTTTTGACTTTATTCTGTCATATTTACTCTTGCAAAGACCAGATTGAGACATATAGAGAGATATCTATATATGTAGCAATGGCATAATTCAAAATAGAGTAAAGTGATATCAATCTCCTCTGGATCTGATGTTAAAAAGAAAAAAAAGAGAACAGATCCAAGAACTTGGTTCTTAACAGAGTTGTGCCTTTTGCTTGTGTTCTTGGTGGATGTAGTTGAAAGATCTACCTCTAGATTAATATTAAATATTTATATTAAATTAATTAAAACAATAAAATTAATACATTAATAATTAAATGTAAGTTAACTTTTAATATAAATATTTAAACTCTGTGTGGAAAAAGCTTGGGCAAGGATGAACAAGAAGTTTTCACTCCCTTTGGTATAAGAGGAGCTGGGCATTTGTTGCTGGTCTGCTGAGTGACACATTTCTGTAAAATAAAGAGCTGTGATCTTGTAGTCACCTCGTTGGAGCCTGGGGGTGGATATAACTTGTAAAGAGCTTCCTGGTCATGGAAATCCTTTTCCTCTGTGATGTTATCATCTTATAAGCTTCATAGGCAAGCCAGAATTCTGTTTTCATCACTGTGTTCTGCCTTTAAGTAGATCTTGTAGATCATAGGCCCATCTGTAAATATTTCAGAAGAAAACTTATATTGCTTGTCTATGTGAATTGCCTTTAGAGTGCTTTGCAGGCAATAGGGGCATTGATAAAGCAGTCTAATTCTTGATTGTGCCTTCTAAATGTTGTTAGATTATGTCAAAATGGGGAATTAATTTTAGCATCTCACCCCTACCCTTCAACCTCACATTTTCCTGCACAAGCAGGGCTCCCTAGTAAATCTAATCCCAGAGTAAATCTAAGGTAGGAAACACTTCGCCCACCTTTCCTAAAGAGCTGTAAATCCACTGGGTTTAGAGTCTCTGGCTTTTTATTGTGAGCACACCTTTCCTTTTTGTGTGTCATAAAGCTTTTAAATTAATTAAAATTCAATCAGTAGTGTTTTTAAGTGCAGTGAAGGAGGCATTTTAAACAGGGCATCATTCTGACTACTGCTGGAAGCTAGAAGTGTTTTATTTAAAGCAAACTTTCAGCATTCTGGCCTTTCACATTTGTGGAGGTGTTGAGCACAGCCTGTCCCCTGGCAGGGGTGGTGATCACTTGTGTGCCTGCTACTCCTGCTGTCGTTTTGTCTCCAAAAATGCAGTTTTCTGCTGAGAGGTTTCTCCCTGTGCTGTAATAACATCCTAGGTCGTTTCCAGTTTAAGATTTTAATGGCAAAATCTTTAGGGTTATGAATGCTGTTAATCTTCTTGTTCTTTGTAATTTTTCTGCAGCTTGGAAATAATGCCAGTCCTCAGGAGTCATTTTTAGAGGTCTGTGGTGTGACTTTTCATTGCTGTTTTGAAAAATGCAATTCAGCAGAGATGTTCTGCTGCCCATAGGAGAAATTTGGGAGAGCTCTGAGCCCTGTTTGAGGCAGAGGGGGATGGAGTGGGAAAGTTCAGAATTGCTGCTGCACCTGCAGTTCTTCCCATCCCTGAACACTGGAGCTGCTTTCCAGGGCATTCCCCTGGATAGAAATGCCATTCTGTGGTGCCTTTGGGGCATGCAGGATTTCCCAAGTGAGCTCTGTCACTTTTCTGCTGCTGTAAGGTGCTGTTCAGTGCTCTGAGTGGGGATGTGGCAGATAAAGCATGCCCTCATCACATGTCTCTGAGGGAATCGGTGTGATTGCACAAATGGCAAGTTTGGGAAAGCATTTACAGCATGCCATGTTTATTTCCAGTGTGATGCGTGCTAGGCATGTCACAAAGATGTTTTGCATTAGTTGTGTATCAGGCAGCATGAGTTATTGATTTTTTGCTTTGTGGGAACTTTTCTCAGCCATCCATCTGGGACACAAACACACAATTACTTACATTTGCTTGTTACCCGATTTTCAAAAGACTTGGGCCCACTGTAGCATTTCCACCAAAGACACCCTTCAGGAAAGAGGTCATTATTGCAGGATTAGTTGTGGTTCAAAGTATAAAATAATTAACTTAATTACCTTGTTGAAATTCTATTCCCTAACTTAAATACGAGCTGTATGGAACTTACATTTTAAAAGGCTTTCCTGTGTTTCCTGGATCTTGTGCCTGCTATGCTGAGACAAATGTTTTTCTTGCTGTAACAAAGGCAGTTCCTTTTCAAGGTGCTCCATGTAATTCCTCTAGAAATGGCATTCACTTTTTTTAAACTGTGCTTAGGAGAAACACAAGTACTGCCCTTCTAGACAGCAACTTCTCTGGAGACAGGAATCATCATGGAATTTAGGAAATACTGATGTTTGTACTTAGTAGAAAAGTCTTTGGGGCACAAGATCTTATTGTAATATTTAAAGGCCTTTAATATCTAGGTTGACTTATCAGAGAGCTGAATATAAGCTCCAAGCAGAAGGTAAATAACAAAAGGTTAATGCAGTCTTAGCTGGAAGACACTTCCATCTCTCACCAGCTGTTTGCAATGCAGCATGACACATTATTACGAACCTACACAGCCCTTGGAAGTGGCTAAAATCAGATTTTACTTTCATGTTTGCTATTCTTAAGCAATAAGTTCATAAGCCTGTAGGAGTCTCCTGCCTGATTCTGGGAAAGAGCCTGGAAGTAGTGAGATGAGAGACTAAACAATTTCAGGAAAAACAAATGTTTGAGGGCAGTAGCTCCATTTAAGTGCATGTAGCTCCATTTACACCAACAAACTGGTTTTCACGCATTGCAGTTTTAGGACACCAATGCTGGTAACCTGGAAAAAATGCTTATGCTTATGTTAGTAAAAGAAAGGACAGGGGATGTATTCCAGTGGGTGCTTTCCATTGTGTCAGCCAAATTTGGAGTGAGATCCTTTCTCATTGAGTATTTGCTTCTCATGGCAGCTGTAATTTTGTCAACAGCTACTTAGTATCACAGGGCTTTTTAACATTTAAATTAAAATCAAATTTGGCATTGGTATGAGTGCTGCGTGATGCTTTATAGATTTCTGCAGCACAACAGCCATTACCTGCTCTATAGCTTTTTCAAATTGATAATGATTTATAATATATTTATAACTTGATGCAATTCCCTCTTCCTCTGAAAAAGTACATGGTGTGACGAGGTGATAGTTTTCTCAGGCTGACATGGTCAAACAAATAGAGAGTAAGAGAAATGCTGCCACTATTGAAGTATAGTGTCAGTAACTCTTGCCACTTAGAGTTGGTTTTTTTCCTTCTTGTGAGCTATTAGCCTTCTCTTTGTAAAAACTCATAAAGCTTGTGGTTATGGGGAGTGGGAATCTCTAGTTCTCTGCAAGATGTTTTTTTTTTCTCTCCTTACAAGCTATTTCTGAGTCATATTTGCTGTTCCTGACGCAGATAACTGTTCCTCTCTGCCAGCAATAGCACTTGTATAGAACGAGTGACAGTCTCATCTGTCTCCCTGAACTTCATCAGGAGAGCCATCTTATTTCCATTTCTGATTATTTGTCTTCAGCATTAATCTGTGAAGCAGAAACAGCCGTGCCTGACTGGGCAGCTGTCACAGAGGAAAACCTTTTTACTTTCCTTTAAAAATCAGGAAAATATCAAGGGAATAGGTGATTATGATCTGTATTAATGCCCCTTCAATAGCTGTTGTGCTGATAGTAAATGTCTTGCTGCAATGATTTGCAACATGATCGGATTTGCTGAAGTACACATATTACACTGGGAAACAAAATCTTCAAAAATAACTAAGCTGGGGTTCAAAAATTTAAACTGTAGTGTCCTGTGGGAGCTATTTTCACCTCTCATTCACCTCCACTGTGAGTGGCTCCCCTCACCACCATGGTGCAGAAATCCTCACCCAGTATTTGGAAACACTGTCTGGGTTTGTACCTCCAAGCTGCAGTTTCAGGGGTGCTCAGGTGCTCCTCAGCATTGCTGTGGGGATTGTCTCAAGAAATCACTTCTGGGTCTGATGTGCTGCCAGCTGAACGGGGGCATTTTGGCTGGAAGCCCTCCCCTAACCCCAACGGGACACATCCCCCAAATTCCTGGCAGGGCTTGGCCCCACAGATCCTGGTGGCACCTGGGAACTTGCAGGAGCCACTTGGCCACCCACTTCTCTCATGCACCACTTGAATCCTCAGCCTTTGCCAGCAGCCTGAATCCTTCTAAAGGGTGGGCCCAAAATATCCATCTTTCCAGTCCTAATTCCTCCCAAACCCAAATCTGGATTTAATCCAGGGGTGAGTGTGCTCCCCTGCCCGTGGAACACAAAAGGAGCTCCCTGTGGAAGGAAGGGGCTGGAGCCAGGGGCTCACCTGGGGCAGCTCTGAAGGTGTTGCTCTCTTTTGCACCATCTCAAGCTCACCATGAAAGCCTCCACTGTGAATTTTGAGGGGATTGTTTCTCCCACTCAGCTGCATGGACTGCACAACATAAGATTCTTATCCTTACTTACTTAGAACTGATCCTGTTTTCTTCTGCTCTGAATGTCTTGCAAAGCCAGCAAGTATTTGGATTCATTCTCCTAAACATGGAAAATATGTGAGTTTTGAATCTGATGTGCTGAGCTCTGGCTTTCTCTAAATAAAAACTCATAATTTATACATATAGCAGTGCAATCAATTCTAACAGTATTCTTATTTTGTACATCTGATCTTTATCTGTGAGTAATTTGTGAAGCATTTGATGAAAATATATTTTGTAACATATGAAAAGTTAAAAAAAAACGCCCCAATGAATTTCCAGGCAGTGGAATGTCTCTCAGGGAAGAATAGAAATGTTAATAATTTTCTCTCTTTCCTTCTCCAATTGTTAAAGGAGATTGAAGCCTGACCCAAAGCAGAATGATACTGGAAGTCTCTTTTTCCCCTGAAAGCTCAGGGTGACCAGGATCAGAGATCAGAACTCAATGTAAACTGGACAAAAATGCTGAGTAAGTTGTTACGTGAGATTAACATTGATATTTGTCCAGTGTGTATCTCAAAGTCAACAAAAGTCATATAAAAGTTGCCTTTATATAGATATGATAGCCATAAAAGAGGGTGCAGTCTATTAGGATGAGGCAGTTTAAAATGTTTATCTAAAAAAGACAAAATTAAAAAAAATCTCTTTTGACCTAGGGCATGTTTAGTGCTTCTCCTTTGGCTTTCAAGCAATGCCAAATGCTGAGTTTATACTGGACTCTAAGTTTGTATAGACCTGCCTGAAATCAAAATAGCCTTATTTATTTGAACTTGAAGTTTCTTTCAGATTTGGGGTTGACTGGCACATATTATTCTTAAAACTATTTTTTTCCTTCCAGCTGAAGCAGGCAGTAAAACACAGGACAAGGTTTTATCTTCAGCTTTCTCAAGCTGTGAAATGTTTCCTTTGCCTTTAGTGTTGTTTTCCTTGTTTCCCTGAGGCCTATATTCAATTTGATGTTTTACTGGGTAAGACTCTCATATATTTGCTGCAGGGCATTGAGATTTCACAGCTTTGCCCAAATGCTTCCCTGCAGCTCCTGCTCACAATCCCTGCAGGACTGCCAGTGGCCACTGCCTGCTTCAGAATTTAAAAGTAACCTTTTAAAACTACACCATATTCCACGTTGAAGATGAAATTATGCAATATATTCTGGCATATGGTTATTATCACTTTATTTTAGGCTGTGATGCCCAATGCTCTCTGTTTTGGGTGTTTTCTTGTTGCAATTATTTGTCTTTTATCCACTGAAATGTAAATTAAATGCAGCCTTTGTGGCTTATTTGAAACCTGGAGAAATTAATGTAGGTTTTTTATGATACAGAGAAGTTCAAGAAATATGAAGCAATATTAAGTAATCTAGCTCAGCTACTTCCATCTGAATTCAAAGTGTCAATTATTAATTTTCTTCTTCAGGTGATGGCTGCACAAAGTGACTTTTGTGTAAGGAAATGTTATTGTTCTGAGGAGCCATTTTAATTTGATTAGAAGTTTTGAACTTGTTGAGAGCTCACATTTTCCAAGCACACACATCCAGGGCTTTGTGGCTCTCTCTTCTAAGTCAGACTCATTTCCTAATGGACCAAGGAACAGAGCATGCTGATTTTATCTCTACCACTGCTGATTTGGAACATCTTTTCACTGAGGCTTAGTCTGTGTTTCATTAGTCTGACATTTTGTGTTTCTGCTGGCAGTGACAGTGACTTAACCCTAAAACAAGACAGGGGCAGTGCAAAAGCTGCAACACACCCTGGAGCAGGGTGTTAGTTTAGGGTTTTCCAGCCCCCACAGGACAGCCTGTTACCTGTCACAGTGTCCCATTAAATGGGAATTTAGGGTTTTCCAGCCCCCACGGGACAGCCTGTTACCTGTCACAGTGTCCCATTAAATGGGAATTTAGGATTGTCCAGCCCCCACAGGACAGCCTGTTACCTGTCACAGTGTGTCCCATTAAGTGTCCTGTCATCTGTAGTAAATGGGAAATTACATCTTAACTACTCCTCATAGCTTTGCAGTGCTCAGACAACTTGACTTGGATCATGGAACTTTTCTCCCCCAATGTTTATGTAGTGTCCTTCCTCTTTGCTTGTTCTAGGACATTATTGCTACAAGACCACAAATTCTTTAATGTGTAGGAGCTGTGTGCTTCCTGCAGCACTGCTAATCAAACAGAGCCACATGGCTGCAACTCTTCTGCAGAAGGAATTGCCTGACTGGTGATAAATTAATCTCTGTGCTGGAGTTATTCATGTCTGTAAAAATATAAGCAGTACTGATTTGGAAATAACTGGTTTTATATTTCATGTTGGAGAAATATGAGGAAAGCTGATTTGGTACATCAAAGACCATGCTTTATTTACCTTCCACATTACAACTTTTTTGATTTTTCAGCACCTTTATTTGTGCTAATGAATCTGTTAACTACCAAATGCCACAGCTTTTAGTGCACAGCATAACTTTCAGCAGAGAGAAACTGCTACATAAAAGTTCTGATTGACCATATAACGTTATTCAGATTTTGCACTGACTATTACACCAAATATTCACGTGTATAGGGCTAAGGTTGGGTATACATCAGAAATATTTCTGACATAAATGCCTTTACAATGCTGAGAACTTTACATGCCACGAGAAAAAACACGTTTCCCCACCTATGCTACATTTTCTTGAAAGTGTTTCCAAGTGCCAAATCTCATACTTAGAGGGACTTCTTTTGGGGCTGTTTCCTTTGATTAAAAAGCTTAATTTAGTAGTGTCATTTGCCAGGGTAGCTTTCCAAATTTCTTGACCTTTTTTATTTTATTTCTCTTAGGCACACAATGCATGCCTATGCTGCTCATAGTAGTGCCTGACTCTTCTTTTATGCCCAGCACAGGCAAACAGTGCCCGTGGCTCCCATCAGAAACGCTCCTTTGGGCTCTGATGCTGCACTGATGGAGCCTGCTAGCACTGAGAGGATTTTGCCATGTCTGCTGATCAGCTGTAATGACACAAAGCTGTACTTTACTTCACTGAAATCTTGCATGTATTGTCCAAGTCCTGTGACTAATGTTTTCCATTTCCTTATCAAAGTTCTTTCTATGAAATCTGAGGTCCATATTGAAATGAGACCAAAAGCATGAGTACCTTTGCACTGAAACTTTCTCCTTACAGGCAGCATTATGAAACACTTTGGAGTGCTCTGGGAGAAACTTTTTCTGCTCTGACCCATCAGTGTCAGGCTTTTGTGTGCTCCTACCTGGCCAACATGCTACTGCACAGCATCTGAGGGATGTTAAATTTTTTTAAACTTGTGTGATGTCCTCTGCCACTTTTCTTACAGCAGTTGCCCAGGTTATGGCTTCGTTTTCAGTTGAGACTCATCAAGTGTTTGGAAGGAGCTGTGCAGTGCAATAGCTCTGAAGCTGCTGTTTGTCACTGCAAGAGTGACAAAGAGTGACTGACAAGATTCACAGTGGTGCTGGGGCTTTGAGAGAAGCACTGGCTCAGCTGCTTGCTGCAAATCAGTCACAGGAGGGGATCTTTCTGCAGGGCTTTCTGCCCTTCCTTCTGGGGTGGTTGTGACTTGGGGTCTCTGGGAATTTGCCATTGCCTGCGAGGCACAGAGTGACCCTGTAGGGAGGGGAGGGTTGGTCACGTCCTGCTCCCTCTGGCAGCCCAGCTCTGTGCTGTGACATTTCTTTCAGTCTTATCTCTCTGCTCTGACTCATCTTCTTTTCCTCTCTCACAGCCTCCCAGGCAGAGCGTGAACTGTGTAGGATTGGGACTTAATTTGAGGTACTCCAACAATGCAGTGCATTCATTTATTTTATTGCAGCTCACCCTGCTGGTAAACAGGCTTTGTGTATGGGATGTGCATCCCCTTTCCCACAGCACTGGTCCTGCTGGGGAGGAAATGTGTGTGGTGTGCTCACCTCCAGCAGAACCTGGTCAGAGCAGGGCAGCATCACACGAGACCTTGGCCTGTGCTTAGGGAAGGGCAAATATCACACGGATCTGTTTTCTGTGGATTGCTAGTTCATTAAATCTCATTCTGTATTCTTTGTACACAGGATTTAGGAGTATTTTGCTCCGTTTCTCTAATGGGAATGGGCAGGAGCAAATTAACTTGAGTTGATTGTTCAAATAATCACAACAGTGAGATGTTTGTCCCATACCTCCTCATACTTCTAATGCTTCATATACAGGCAATTATATACTAAAGCATCTGAGGGCCAGAACCTGACATGTTAAAATATGTCCATAAAGAATCTCATTTGTGGAACTCCTTAAACTTAAAATAAGAAAAAAATCACCTTTATTAATAACTGTGACTCTGGAAAAGTTACAGAATGAAAATCCCAACTACATTGATAGTCACTAGTGATTTGTACCAGTGTTTAACTATTTGATCTACATAGATTTGGATAAACCTGATAAGTGCTTATGCACCTTCTTCTGCAAGAGCCTAAATATATCTTATTTTTACTCTAAACTTTATTTGCATTAAAGTAAAACTAATCTAAAATCTCATTATTAAAATGAACAATAATGAACTATTTAGGGTTTGCTTTTTCTATCAGCTGATATTCAGGGAACCACATAAGATCATATCTTTGTAAAGTTAAATTGTGCAGTGTCTGAGAATCAGTAACCAATGGCTTTGTGTTCAAACATTTTCTTTCCTGTGTTACAGGCATTAAAATGTGCTGTAATATTGCTGAAAATTGAAATAAACTCATCCCAGGCTTTTCTCCCTAAGTTTGTTTTTACTATTAAGCTGAAGAAAATTCTTCTGCAAACCTTTCATGCCGAGGGGGGGGTGAAGGAGGAGTGTTTAGGTGCAGGATTTGTTGCTAATTTCATGTTTTGTTGTATCCTTCACCACGTTCTAAAGAAAAAATTTGAATTTTAATGGGTTGCCAAAATGGTTTTGCAATGTGTTTCTCTGTGTCAGCTCTTTCCACTACCATCACTTACAGCTTGATACCCAGAAAGTTCCCCGCCAGAATATTTCAAGTCCTTAACTGTGGAGAGTTTAGTTGTTAACCAGGTGTGGCTGCTGCTCTGTAAAATCACACGATTGAACC